CTCCAGATATATCTGAGGTTTGTCTGTAAGATTTTTAAACTTTTTAATTACATTCTTACACCATTCATCTTTCTGTTGCATTTCAACTAAATTAATGTCATTAATATTCAATAACATGTCATCAAAATTCGGGCCAGTTTGGCCATTTTGACCAATTTGACCGATTTCAACATTAGTTAATTTTAGAGGCGATCGCGAGAGTGCATCGGCATCTAAATGATAAGCACCTGATTTATAGACAATTTTGAAATCATATTCAGCTAATTCAAGTACCCATCGGGCTATCCGTCGTGTCGGACTTTTAGAGCGGAACATCCAGCACAGGGAGTGGTGATCGGTAACTATTTCGAAATATTTTCCTAACAAATAGTGACGGTTTTGTTTAACGGCAAAAAATACTGCGAGCGCTTCTAATTCGGTCGTAGCATAATTTATTTCACAGTTATTTAGTGAACGACTACCATATTTAATTGGGTGTTCTTTGCCGTCAATTATATGTAATAATACATAACCTAATCCCTCTAAACTGGCATCTGTATGAAGTCTAACATCTAAATTTTGGTCATAATGTACCAGTACTGGAGCAGTGGACAAACATTTTTTCAAATTGTTTACAGCAGTTTCCTCTAATATAGTCCATTGCCACTGTACATGTTTTCTTAATAGTCTCAATAACGGTGAAGCTAATTTGCTAAACTCATTCATTGAATCTCTGTAATAACCGCACATACCTAGAAATCTCTTAATTTCCTTAACATTTTTAGGTGATCTAAAATTAGTGATGGCTAATACTTTTTTGTCGTCAGGTTTGATACCGTCGGATCCTACGATCCAACCTAAAAATTTTATTTCATTTTTAGCAAAATGACATTTTTGTTTTTGAAGTTTTAAGTTGGCCAATTCGATCCTATCGAACAATTGGGCCAATCGGTCTAAATGTATGTCAAAGTCTGGGGCATATACTATTATATCGTCTAAATAGGCGACACATGTATTGTATCTTAAACCCGCTATTAGCTTATTAACCATGCGTTGGAAAGTAGCAGGTGCACCGGTCAAACCAAATGGCATTACTTCCCATTCATACAATCCATTAGGTGTTATAAATGCAGTCTTAGGGATATCCTTTGGTTCGACGGCCACTTGCCAATAACCAGATATGAAGTCTAAGGTAGTGAAAAACTTAGAACCGGTAAATGCTGTCATCAAGTCATTTATTCTCGGCAAAGGATAATTATCTTTTTCGGTTATTTTGTTTAAATTACGATAATCACAACAAAACCTTAACTGTCCATTTGATTTTTTAACCATTACAACAGGGCTAGCATATGGGCTATTTGATTCTCTAATTATACCCGCTTTTAACATTTCGTCAATTTGATCATTCATTACAATGAGATCTTTCGGGCTGGCCCTATATGGTGGCTGATGAATCGGATCATCAGTTGTTAATTTTATATTATGTGTTATTATATCGGTTTTAGTGATATCAGAGATTGAGTTAGCGAAAATGTTATTATATTTTAATAAAAAACATTTAATTTTATCATATTGTTCAACAGTTAAGTTATCGTTAATATTAAATTCAAATGAATCATTATTTTGTGTATCATTGACCGCATCGGTCGATTTGGCCAATTTGGCCGTTTCGGTTTCATGGGTTGCCGTAAGCAATTCAACATTGTCTATATTTTGAACTGTACCTATAGTAGTATTTTCTCTTATAAATACATTTGATGGTAAGGTGTTGATAATAAATATGAATAATTTATTATTCTCATATTTGATTAGCGAATCAAAAATTAATACATTAAATTTGATTTGAAATTCAACACTTGGTTCAAAATATAAATCATTAATACATTTATTTATTGTGTTAACTTCAACCCATCGGCCACTATTTTTAGGTATAGTAATACTAGATTTTATCTTTAATTTAAAATCATTATTTACATTATTATAAAAATTATGGTTATAAAATGGAAGTTTTACTAAACTTTGATAATTAGATTTTAGTTGCTTAAAATCAATATTAAGTTCAGATTTGATACAAAAATCTAAACCTAAAAGTACATTAAATGGTAGGTTATCATAGACTATAAATTCGATTAAATAATTATATTTATCAATTGAAACTGTACAGTTAGCTTTGCCAACCGGTACCATTGTAGTACCGTTGGCTAGTTTTAATATAGGATGAGAGCATAAATTTAAACTTAAATTTTTGAATTTATTAAATTCATTTTTACTAATAATAGACCGGGCGGATCCGGTATCAATTAACATAATATATGGGGTTTTATTTACATAGCCGTCAATTGTTAAATGCATATCTTTAATATTGATTATATAACAGTGGGTATCGGCGACGGCATTAGTGATGACCGCCGCCATCACTCGTTTCCCGAACTGTTATTATCTTTAGCATTAACAACAGTTTTGGTCTCCGTATTATTACTCTTATTGTGATAACAAGTTTTAGCAAAATGTCCAGGTTTATGACAAATGTCACACACGGGACGCCAATCAACAGTACGCCTATATTGAAACCTGTTACTGTTATTGTTACGATAACCATTATTACGGAAATTATTGTTATTATAATTGTTGTTACGATAATTGTTATTATTATTTTGTGTTATCATAAAACTTTTCACTAATTCACACAATTGGGCTATCTCTGATTTTGAGTCTGCCTTGGCCGCGTTGGCCGATTTGGCAAAATTGGTCAAAGTATTTGGATTGACATCTGCACTTGGATTAATGTCCCTATTGTTATTTGATACAGATATTGGTGTTTTAATACTGTTTTTCGGGTCATTTAATAGCAAATAGTTATAGGTGGGTCTCTGTGAGGCAAGTATTTCAGACTCTTCAATACTTCTGAGTTTTCCTAACAAATCAATGCAAGTTTTGGGTTCAAATACTAAAACCTTTTCTAACATTCCTGACTTTAAGCCTCTCATTACATGAGTTATCTTATTCTGTTCTTCCATATTTGGATTAATTTTATTACATAACCGTATAACATCATAATGATAGTTAGCTACCGGTTCACTTAATCCTTGGTGTCTGCAAATGAGATTTGATTGATAAATAGATCTATAATTTTTTGGTCTAAAAGCTTCTCTTAAGCCATCATAAATCTGAGATAATGTGAGTGTTGTCTCATAATTGCTATCAATGTCTAACTTTGCAAACTCTTTATACCACATTTCAGCTGTGGATTTTAAGTGAACTGGTAATCGAAGCTTTTTCATATCATCATTCCAGTTATTGCATTTACTCACATAAATAAAATGACCGATCCAATCATCTATGTCATTACTACCATCAAATGATTGGGGGGTAATAGATCCGACAGTAATTATGGATTTAAATTCACTTTTGGGTTTTGTCTGCTCTGTACTACTTGTAGTATTATTTAGATTATTGTTTAAAGTACTTGAATTTATTGCCATTGAACTATTTTGGCAATTATTTTTATTGCCTTCAATTTGTGAGTTTGTTTGACTGTTTATGTCATTTTGGCAAATTTGGCCAATTTGGGCATTAGTGTAATTGCTTGTATTTTGACCATTAATTTGATTTAATGGTTCATTTGGTTCAGATAGGCTAAATGCATTAACATTATTGTTGTTTACTTGTGTCAAAACATCTGTTTGTGTGACTGTAAGATTTGAATTTAGTGTTTCAGTAATAACAGTGGGATTAGTTTCACTCCTTGGGAGTGACTGTGATGTACGGCGAGAGCGAGCTTTTCTAGTTTTTCGGGGCATTTTTATTGCTATTTTTATGTAATATAGTAATTATCTTTTTGTTAATTTGTTTTTTTATTGCTTTTTTAATTTTGGGTAAAATTCTTTTACTCAATTTTAACAAATAAATCTAACTGTTTATTATATCTAATTTCTTTAATGTCTAACTCTACTGTACCGTACGTGGGATTTACTGATAACATGTGTGAAACATATTCTCTATTTAATAGTGTTTCAGTTTTTGAAGTTTTAAACAATTTAGACAGCAATAAACCCATTAAAACTGTAACATTTAAAGTTAAGGTTTACAGTAATGATAGTGAATCTTATGCGTTTTTTTGGTAATAAAACTAATCCTTACAATTATACTGAATATTCACTATTATTTAAGGCATTTATTGGGATATCTATATGTATAGGTCTTTTAAAATAGCAAAATTCATATATTAAGTTAAACACTGTTAGCGCAATAGAAAGTATAAACAACACAAAGCATAAAAACATAGCGCATTAATTTAAACACAATTGCATTAATTTAATAATCAATAAAATAAAAATTAAAAAGACATACCAATCCATAGTTAGTTAATACGAAAGTACTTATAAAATCGATACCACTGCGATCTCCACCAAATACAACATATCATATATTTTGCCTATATATGTATGTATACGAGCGCTGCAACGAACTCGGGTTAGCGGCTGTGAAGGCCGTACCGGCCGTACAACTGGTCGTCAAAATGTAGAGCACTCTTCAAACACATCCAGTTGTCCCACCCAAGTGATTGGCCGATTTGGCCGATCCGGTCGGTACTGGCGTTTCTTGCGCCACCCTTTCCCCAGCACCAGTATAGTTGTATGAATTGTTATTTAACACACAATTTTAATTATAAAATAATATTACTTTATTGTTGAGTATCAAAATTAAATACTTAATACAAAAGTATAAAACTTAGACAAAATAAGTACAGTACAAAAGTACTAAAAACTGTTAAAAACAAAGTAAAAAAAACTATTACAAAACATATACGATTATAAAAGACGACTACAATATCCAGATCCCGAGTTAGGGTCGGTTGACTCTTATATAGCTGGAGAGGGAGGTGTGGTATGTCATGCATGGGCTGATCTAAACTAACCAATTATATAATCTTAGCTACCAAAACTATAATATATATGTAATATATATTATTATGTTTTAATATAAAAAAATAAATAATAACAAAACAAACAAATAACAAAAATGTCTGTAACCTATGATTTCACCGGAAAGGTAGCTCTGATAACTGGTTCGAGTTCGGGTATCGGTGCGGCCACTGCTCAACTGTTTGCCAAATCGGGTGCCAATGTTGTAGTTACCGGTCGTAATGCCGATCGTGTGGCCAAAGTGGCCAAACAGTGTACAGATGTATCGCCGAAACAGTTGACTGCACTGGAAGTTGTCGGCGATCTTAATAAACAAGAGGATTGCGATCGACTAATTCAGACAACTGTCCAAACGTTTGGCAAAATTGATATATTGGTCAACAATGTCGGTTTGGGTAATAGAGCTGATGTTACTAAAGAGGATTACTTTCAAAAATTTCAAAACGTTATGCAAACTAACTTGAATTCAGTGGTATATCTGACCCATAAATCTGTTGAACATTTGGCCAAAACTAATGGCAATATTATTAATATATCTAGTGTTGCCTCAAAAGTATCAGGGGTAATTATTATATTGTATATATTTATTTATTTGTTAATATATATATATATAGTATTTATTTAATTAAGTATTAATAATAATAACTATTAAATAATAATATCTCAACAAATAATAATAATTTTTAGGGTAACGGTGCGTCACCCTATCATATATCAAAGGCAGCACTGGATATGTTTACCAAATGTATGGCCGCAGAGTTGGGACCCAAACATCATATCAGAGTTAATTCAGTCAAGTAATTGATTTTTATTTTATGAATTTTTTATTTTTCAAAATTTCCCGATTTTTGATTTATTGACAAATTTATTAATTACAAAAAAACCTAAACAAACAAAAAATAATAAAGTCCCGGAGCTATAGTCACTAATTTTGGTACTAATATGGGTGTACCGAAATCGGTTGCCGACAAAATTTATGAAACAATTGGCGCCAAATATCCGGCGGGTAGGCCGGGCCAGCCGCAAGATACGGCCAATACTATTGTCTATTTGGCCAGTGATAAGGCGGCCGGGTTTCTGACCGGCAGTATTGTTGTGGCCGACGGCGGACATCTGGCAGCTAACGTATCGTTTGAAAGTGAAGGCAAAGATTTGCTAAATTCAAGCAATTAATTATAACTTTATAATTATTATTAAAAAAAATTATAATAATTAAACAAAATTTATTAACACAATGTCACAATAGGGCAATGTTTTAATTATTTTTTTTTTGAATAATTAATTAAAATATTTATTATTATTAATTATACTGTAGTACTGTTTTTTAAATATTTGTTAATAAAAATTTATAATAAGAATTATTATAGATTTAAATAAAATATTTTATTTATTAATTATTTTTTTGTTTACTAATTAATTAATTATTTATTTGGTTTACTATTTAATTAAATTTAATGTATTACTAGATTAATGTCTAGATCTCAGCGTACTGTATGTCCAAATCAGCAGTAGATATGTTTACCTAAATATATGGCCGTATAGTTGGGACCCAAACATCATATCAGTGTTAATTCAGAGTCAAGTATTATTGAAAAATATTTTAATAATTAATTTTTATTCAAAATTTATTTTCCACAAAAAAAAAACAAAATAACATAATAAAAATCAGGAGACTTATAGTCACTAATTTTTAAGCATCTATTATGGGTTTACCTAAAATCTATAGCCGACAAACTTGTAGGCCGGACCAGTCGGTAGATACTGCCGCACACTGTTGCCTATTTGGGCCAGTAATACGACGGCCGGGGGGGGGTTTATAACCGGCAGTATTTTTTGTTGGCCGATATGTTGCTAATATATCGGTTAATTACGAAATTAAATGCTAGGAAATAATTAATTTTTTTATATTAATTAAAACAATTATATATATATTTAAGTATTATATTAATTATTTTTTTAATAATTAAATAATTAAATCAATTATAATTAAATCATATTTACTTATCAAGTATTGATAATAATATTACGGTAATAATAATAATTATTATTTTTTAATAAAAAAACTGATAAAATTATTTGCACTTAACATCAAGTAGACTGACCACCCATACAGGTGCCGCCTGTATTATACAGGAATCAAGGGTCTAATACAGGTGACAGGAAAGGGCTAACCTGTATAATAATATATACAGCTTTAAAATATGTAAAACTAATTGATTAATAAAAGTATAAAATAACTATGAATTAAGTTTTGTTAGTAAAAAATTGCTTGTATTTTTAATATACAGTTTAAATATTTCAAATATTTTTTTAAATATAAAAAATTTATAAATATTTCTAAAATAGTTCATGTTCAATATAAAATAATTTCAACTTTTTATATAATTATAGCATCTAAATTAAATTTATTAATTAAAATTATAAATATATACGAATATATTGTTATTTAAGTACAGGTTAACATACAGGAATATAATATTTAATATACAGGAAAATACAGGTGAAAATAATAATTTTATACTATTATACAGGTTTACTAATAAATTGGGTGGTCAGTCTAACATCAAGGCTATTTAAACATTTAATATATTACAATATAACTGTATAGATATAGACATTATCATATCACTAGACTTTATATATATATATATATTAAACAATAGATAATTTAATTATACTGTTTAAATAAAAAAATAATGCTCAAGGACATAGTATGAAAATTATGATTTCAGATTTATATACTGTATAATCAAGTATATAATATAATATTAAATAAATACAAGTTTTTAGATAAATTTCAAATCAAACTATTAATTCATTACAAGTCAATTGAACAGTCTTTCAGTTAGTGTATGTAATTCAAAGAGTAGTCATATATTTATATAATAAAAAATATTTTTTTGATTAATAGTTAGCATTTAATTTGTAGTGCAAACAAAAAAAATGTCTGTTAATTTTGATTTCACCGGTAAGGTAGTTGTAATAACCGGTTCGAGTTCGGGTATCGGTGCGGCCACTGCTCTATTGTTTGCCAAATCGGGTGCCAATGTTGTAGTCACCGGTCGTAATGCCGATCGTGTGGCACAAGTGACCAAACAGTGTACAGATTTGTCACCTAAACAGCTGAAAGCATTGCAAGTTGTCGGCGATTTGAACAAACAAGTGGATTGCGATCGACTAATTCAGACAACTGTCCAAACGTTTGGCAAAATCGATGTATTGGTCAACAATGTCGGGTTCGGCGATAGAGCCGAAGTTACTAAAGAGGATTATTATCAAAAATTTCTAAACGTTATGACAACTAACTTGAATTCAGTGGTATATCTGACACATAAATCTGTTGAACATTTAGCCAAAACTAATGGCAATATTATTAACATATCGAGTATTGCATCAAAAATATCGGCCGTAAGTATTATATTATATCAATTAATATGTATGACTACTTTGTCTATTATATATAATATATATATTATATATATACACAGTTATATAAAAATATATTCACAACATATTCAATATATAATTATAATAATTATTATTATTATTATACTAAATTAGTTGTTAGATTATAATTACAGTTAATCATAAATTATTTTAAATCAGATAAAAATATTTGTTTATTTTTTTTTTAAAAATTTAAAACATTATTATTATTATTTTTTATTAACTAAAATACACAGTATTTGTAATAACTTTTTTTTAGTACAAATTAATTAGTTTATAAAATTTATAAATAGTATAAAAGTTTACTTTAAGTACAAATTATAATTCAGTAATACTATTACTACTAATGGTTATAATAATAATAAATATATATTTTTTTAAATTTAAAACATTATTATTATTATTATTATTATTGTCCTTCTAATTAATATTATTTATCTATATATATATATATATATATTTTTTAATTATTATTAATTAATTATAATTAATTAATTTTATGATTTTTTTATGATATCTTAAATATTATTATTAAGGGTAACGGTTCGTCACCCTATCATATATCCAAAGCAGCACTGGATATGTTTACCAAATGTATGGCCGCAGAGTTGGGACCCAAACGTATTAGAGTTAATTCAGTCAAGTATTTATTGAAAACTTTTATTTATATTTATTGAACAAAATTTTTTTTAACTTATATTAACTAATTGTTTTTTTTTAAAAATGTTTTTTTACAACAACAACAATAATAAAGTCCCGGTGCTGTTGTAACTAATTTTGTTACCAATATGGGTGTACCTAAACCAGTGTCCGATAAGGTTTACGAAGCAGTTGGACGTAAATACCCGGTAGGCAGGGCTGGCCTGCCTGAAGATATTGCCCAAACTATTGCCTATTTGGCCAGTGATCAGGCGGCCGGGTTTCTGACCGGTAGTATTGTTTTGGCCGACGGCGGACATCTGGCAGCTAACGTATCGTTTGATAACGAAAGACAAGAGATGCTCAAAGAAATGAAATAATTTTTTTTGTTTGTTTTTGATTTATAAATAATTATAATTATAAATTATAAATACATGATTTATAAGATATTATTTTAATTATATTTTTCAAAAAAAAATATTTTTAATTAAAAATTATTATATCATATGGTTTTTTTAATAGATGTTAAAAAAATAAATTGTATTTGAATACCAATTTGGAAATAAAATAAAATTTCAAACAATATAAAATTATAATTTATTAATAGTATTATTAGTTTATACTGTATTTATTATTATTACCATTAGTAGTAATAGTATTACAGTATTATAATTTGTATTTAAACTAAACTTTTATACTATTTATAACTTTTTAATAAACTAATTATTATAATTTGTACTAAAAGTGAACTTAAAAAAATGTTATTACTAATACTCTGTGTGTGTGTAATTATTATAGTTAATAAATTAAATAATAATAATATTTTTAATTTAACAAAAATAAATAAACAAATATTTTTATCTGGTTTAAAATAATTAACTATAATTATAATCTAACAAATAGTTTAGTATAACAATAATAATAATTATAATTATGTTGTATATAACTGTAAATATATATATATATGGTTATGGTTATGGTTTCATATATATATATATATATATATATATATATATATAATAGACAAAGTAGTCATATATATTAATTTATTAAATTAAAAAAATATGTTTTTTAAACTTTTAATGAATAGGCTATTAAAAGTTAGTAATTAAAAATAGTTAGAATTTATTATCAATATAAAATTATTAAAAAAAATTAATTATTTTTTGTTTAAATTATAAAATATATATTCGTTAATCGACGTTAACATTGGCGGCCAGATGTCCGCCGTCGGCCAAAACAATACTGCCGGTCAGAAAGCCGGCCGCCGTATTACTGGCCAAATAGGCAACAGTATTGGCAATGTCCTCCGGCTGGCCAATCCTACCGACCGGATATTTACGGCCAGCTTCGGCGTACATATTGTCGATTACTGTCTCAGGTAAACCCATATTAGTCAATAAATTACTGATTACAGCTCCGGGACTTATTTTTTTTATTTATTTGGTGAGTTGTTTTTTTGTTATAAATAAATTTTTTAAAAATTAATTATCAAAATAACATAAAATACAAATATTTTTCTAATAAATCAAATCAATTACTTGACTGAATTAACTCTGATATGATGTTTGGGTCCCAACTCTGCGGCCATACATTGGGTAAACATATCCAGTCCTGCTTTGGACATACAGTACGCGGAACTGTCACTAATCTATTGTAATATATATATATAATTAAATAAATAAATTAATTAATTAATAATTTTTTAAAAAAAATCAACATTTTTTTATAAAACTACTTAAATATGAAATACAGTTAATTCGGATCCAATATCCGATATATTGATAATATTGCCCCGAGTTTTGGCCAAATATGGGACACATTTATGTGTTAGATATACCACTGAATAGAGATTTGTTTGAATAATTGTTTGAAAATTTTTATAATAGCCATCATCGGTAATATTGGCAAACTTATCCATTCCTGCATTGTTGACCAATATATCAATTTTGCCATAGGTTTGGACAGTTGTCTCAATCAGTCGATTGCAGTCCTCTTCGTTAGTCAAATCGCCGACAACTTCCAGTGCTGGCAACTGTTTCGGTGATACAACTGTACACTGTTTGGCCACTTTAGACACACCGTCCGAATCAAGTCCAGTAACTACAACATTGGCACCCGATTTGGCAAACAGTTCAGCAATGCCGGCACCGATACCCGAACTCGAACCAGTTATCAGAGCTACCTTTCCGGTGAAATCATATTTAATCGACATTTTGTTTTTTAAAAATACTGTATATATTTAATATATTAATTATTATTTTTCTATTAAAACTTTCTAAACTTATATATATATATATATATTAATTTTTTTATTCACAAAAAATAAAATGTTTTTATTATTTTAATAATTTTGATTACATCAGAGCTACCTTTCCAGTAAAATCGTATTATTGCAAAATTAATAGTTAAACATTAAATATAATAAAAATAACAAACTTTGGTGACTGTACTAAAAAAACTGTATTATTTTCAATAACAACAAAATTTTTAATTATACATAAAATGAATTAACTAAAATTTTACTAATAATAATAATAATAATTATTATTATTATTATATTTATCAATACTAACTGTACTAATGCCTAATTAGTTAGTGAATTGTATTTTACTTAATTGTAAATTAATTTTAGTCTATTTTATTACTTTTATAAATATCTATAACTAATAGAATAAAAGTGTTGAATATTTTTAGTCAAAAAATACTAAAACTAATGACAATATTATTTAAATTGTTTAAAAGTTAAATTGTAAACAACAACAAAAAATTAAACAAAAAAAAATAATTAATTAGTAAACAACAAAAAAATAATTAATTAATAAACAAAAAATAATTAATTAGTAAACAATAAAAATAATTTGTATATAATATAAATAATAAAATATTTTCTTTTAATTTAAATCTATAAAATTCTTATTAAAAAAAACAATTAGAGACAAAATAATAATAATAATAAAAATATTATTATTATTATTATTATTATTATTATTATTATTATTATTATTATTATTATTAGTAATAGTACTGTAACTTAAATAATTTGTACTTAAATTACATTATAGTTATAGAAATTTTAATTGATATACAATAACAAAATATATATATAACAAAGTGTACTAATTAAATAAATAATAAAAAAGATTACAAATACTGTACTAAAAAATTATTGTATAAATACTATTGTTTTATTTAATATAATATTTTTTTTATAAAATCTATCGATAATAATATTATATTTGTTAGCAATTAATAAAAAAAACAAAGTTTTATTTTTGTTATACAAATGTCTGTTAACTATGATTTCACCGGAAAGGTAGCTCTGATAACTGGTTCGAGTTCGGGTATCGGTGCGGCCACTGCTCAACTGTTTGCCAAATCGGGTGCCAATGTTGTAGTGACCGGTCGTAATGCCGATCGTGTCGCCAAAGTGGCCAAACAGTGTACAGATTTGTCACCGAAACAGTTGACTGCACTGGAAGTTGTCGGCGATCTGACTAACGATAAGGATTGCGATCGACTGATTGAGACAACTGTCCAAACGTTTGGCAAATTGGATATATTGGTCAACAATGTCGGGTTTGTTCAAAAAGCTTATGTTACTAAAGATGATTACTTTCAAATATTTCAAAATATTATGACAACTAACTTGAATTCAGTGGTATATCTGACACATAAATGTGTTGAACATTTGGCCAAAACTAATGGCAATATTATTAATATATCGAGTATTATGTCAAAAAAAGCAACGGTAATAATAATAATAATTATAATTAATTTATTTATTTTATTAATAAACTATTATATTATTATTATTATTATTATTTTAATTATCAAAAAAAAAATTAGGCAAACGGTTCGTCACCCTATCATATATCTAAGGCATCTCTGGATATGTTTACCAAATGTATGGCCGCAGAGTTGGGACCCAAACATCATATCAGAGTTAATTCAGTCAAGTAATTGATATTAAAAAAATAATAATTATTAAAAAATATTATTTTGTTAATATATATATATATTAACAACAACTAAACACTACTAATACTACTATATATATAGTCCCGGAGCTGTAGTCACTAATTTTCTAACTAATACGGGTTTACCGAAAGCAATGGCCGATAAAATCTACGAAACAGTTGGCTGTAAATATCCAGTCGGTAGGGTTGGCCAACCGCAGGATATTGCCAACACTGTTGCCTTTCTGGTCAGTGATACGGCGGCCGGGTTTCTGACCGGCAGTATTGTTGTGGCCGACGGCGGACATCTGGCCGCTAACGTATCGCTTGATAGGCAAACACAAATTTGTTTGAAACAATTGAATTGAAATAATAATACTAATACTAATAATAATAATAAAAGTTATTGAAAATTAATTAAATTAATAATAAAATCTATTATAATTAAAATATCAAAATTAGTTATATAATGATAATACAATTTTTCAATTGATTAATCATTTTATTTATTAATAATAATAGATTATTTAAGTTATTTATTTATTTATTTTTTGACTTCAAAGTTGTAATATAATTATTGGTTGATTTAAAATAAAATTCTTGAAATATTTAATTGTCATTCAATTTCAGTATATAATAATAATAATAATAATAAATTAATAAATTTATCAATAATACTATATTACTGTATTTATATTTATATTTATAGTTGAGATTATCAATTATTCATAAGCAGATAATGTTTGCACTTAAAAGTTTTATATATACATTATATTCAATAATAATAATAATAAATAAAATGATAAATAATTTTGTGATATATTCAATGTCATAATTATAGACTATTTTTATGTTATTAGTATTGCAATATTTAATTAATATTTATAAATTTTATATATATATATATATATATATAGTATATTGATATATGTTTTATTAAGTTTGAAAGTAATTAGTAAATACTACTTTGCTATTATAATTATAATTATTATTATTATTGTTAACATTTTGTGTTTTTTTTTGAAAAAAATAATAAAATAAAAAAAACAGAAAAAATGTCTGTAAGTTATGATTTCACCGGAAAGGTAGCTCTGATAACTGGTTCGAGTTCGGGTATCGGTGCCGGCATTGCCCAACTGTCTGCCAAATCGGGTGCCAATGTTGTAGTAACCGGTCGTAATACCGATCGTGTGGCCAAAGTGGCCAAACAGTGTACAGATTTGTCACCGAAACAGTTGACTGCACTGGAAGTTGTCGGCGATGTTAACAAACAAGTGGATTGCGATCGACTAATTGATTCGACTGTCCAAACGTTTGGCAAATTGGATATATTGGTCAACAATGTCGGGTTCGCTCATATGGCAGATGTCGATACAGAGGATTACTTTCAAATATTTCAAAATGTTATGCAAACTAACTTGAATTCAGTGGTATATCTGACCCATAAATCTGTTGAACATTTGGCCAAAACTAATGGCAATATTATTAATATATCGAGTATTGCGTCAAAAATATCGGCTGGAAGTATAATATTGTTATTATTGTCCTATAATTAATATTATTTATCTATATATATATATATATATATATATATATATATATATATATATTTAATTACTATTAACTAATTATAATTAATTAATTTTATGATTTTTTTTAATGATATCTTAAATATTATTATTAAGGGTAACGGTTCGTCACCCTATAATATATCTAAGGCAGCACTGGATATGTTTACCAAATGTATGGCCGCAGAGTTGGGACCCAAACGTATTAGAGTTAATTCAGTCAAGTAATTGATTGAAAACTTTTTATTATTTTATTGAACAGAAATTTTTTTTATATATATTGTTTTGGCCGACGGCGGACATCTGGCCGCTAACCGTATCGTTTGATAACGAAAGAAAAGAGATGCTCAAAGAAATGAAATAATTTTTTGTTTGTTTTTGATTTATAAGATATTATTATTATAATTTTTTTTCCTTAAATTTTAATATTTTCAATTAAAAATTATTAAATCATATGTTTTTTAATAGTTGTTAAAAAATAAATAAATTTTATTTATAACTCTATTTGAATACCAATTGGAAATAATATAAGATTTCAAAAATTATTAAATTTATTAATAGTAATATTAGTAGTATATTTATTACTTAAACTAAATTTAAACTTTTATACTATATTTTAAAACTTTTATAAACTAATTAATTTGTACTAAAAGTGTAATAAAAAAAAAGTCATTACAAATACTAAAATAAATATTTTTAACACACGTAAAATTAATTAACAAAATTTTTATTAAAAAATAATTATTATTATTTTTGTTATCAATACTAACTATATTTATTTAGTTATTACTAATTAACTAATTAACTGTGTGTGTGTGTATTGTATTTTATTTAATTATAAGTTATTTAATTTGTATTTAATTATATTTAATATAAATATCTATAACTAATAGCATAATTTTTTTTGTGGCAATAATGTGTAGTATATCTGATACACAATAAAAGTGTTGAATATTTGGTCAAAAAATAAATAAATAAAACTAATGATAATATTAAGTAAAATATCAAATATTGATACGAAAAGTCCTGCTTTGAACATACAGTGCGGAAAATTAGCAATTAATCTAATAATATATAAATTTAATTAATTAGTAATAATTAACAAAATATTTTGTTTTATTTAAATCTATAAAATTCTTATGAAAAAAAAATATTTAGTGACAAAATAATAATTATTATAATTATAATTATTATTAGCTATAGTACTGTAACTTAAATATTTTTTGTACTTAAACTACAATATATTTATTAGAAATATTAATTGATAAACAATAACATAAATATATAGCAAAGTGTACTAGAAGTGTACTAATTAAATATTTAAAAAAAATTACAAATACTGTACTAAAAAAAATTATTGTATAAATACTATTGTTTTATATATCTTCAATAATAATAATAAATAAAATGATAAATAATTTTGTGATATATTCAATGTCATAATTATAGACTATTATTTAAGTTATTAGTATTGCACTAAAATATCGAAAATTATATTTAATATATAAATTATATATATATATATTGATATATGTTTTATTAATTTTGAAAGTAATTAGTAATTACTACTTTGCTATTATTATTGTTAGCATTTTAGTGTTTTTTGAAAAAAAATTTGAAATATTTGAAACATTATTTTCAATCTTAAGTTTTTGTAATAATACTAATACTAAACTTAAATATTTTTTTAATTAAATATAAATTTAATCATAAAAGCTAAACCAAAAACCAGTAAAAAATGTCTGTAAGTTATGATTTCACCGGAAAGGTAGCTCTGATAACTGGTTCGAGTTCGGGTATCGGTGCCGACATTGCTGAACTGTTTGCCAAATCGGGTGCCAATGTTGTAGTAACCGGTCGTAATGCCGATCGTGTGGCCAAAGTGGCCAAACAATGTACAGATGTATCACCGAAACAGTTGAAAGCATTGCAAGTCGTCGGCGATGTTAACAATGAACAGGATCTCAATCGTCTGATTGAGACAACTGTCCAAACGTTTGGCAAATTGGATATATTGGTCAACAATGTCGGGTTCGCTCATATGGCAGATGTCGATACAGAGGATTACTTTCAAATATTTCAAAATGTTTTGTATACTAACTTGAATTCAGTGGTATATCTGACCCATAAATGTGTTGAACATTTGGCCAAAACTAATGGCAATATTATTAATATATCGAGTATTGCGTCAAAAATATCAGTAATTATTAGTATTTTTTTTAATTAACTATTATTATTATTATTATTAATTATAACTATTACATAAAAATAAATATATAGAGTAGGGGTTCGTCACCCTATCATATATCTAAGGCAGCACTGGATATGTTTACCAAATGTATGGCCGCAGAGTTGGGACCCAAACGTATTAGAGTTAATTCAGTCAAGTATTGATTGATTTTAATTTTTAAAAAACTTTTTTTTTAAATACATATTATAACATATTATAATAATAACATCTAATATACTAAAATTATTATAATATAACTGTAATTTTTTTTTAAGTCCCGGAGCTGTTGTTACAAATTTTGTTATAAATATGGGTCTACCGACAGAAATGGTCGAAAAATTTAACGAAACAATCGGTACGAAATATCCGGTCGGTAGAGTTGGCCAGTCGCCGGACATTGCCAACACTGTTGCCTATTTGGCCAGCGATACGGCAGCCGGGTTTCTGACCGGTAGTATTGTTGTGGCCGACGGCGGACATCTGGCCGCCAATGTTTCGATTGACGGCGAAAAACAGAAACTGAATAAAAATTAATTGTTTTTTTATTTGTTTTTTAAAAATCAATTTATTTAGAAAACTTTTTTTTTATTTGATAAATTTAATATAATATTTTTATTGTTTTTTTTTAATTGTATAATTATGTTAACATAAAATTTTTTTTTTTGTAAACTAAATAAATTAAATTGATTTATCTGGAAATGTTTGTTTTGTTTAATTGCTGTAAATGTCTAAATTTGGTTAAAATGTTATGTATAATAATATCTTAAAAAAATTATCATTTTTGTTTATACAGTATATTTCTTATTAAATTGATTATATATTTGCTATTATTATATATTTATATTAATATAATTTAGACAGCTATATTATATAGTAGTATATACTATCAAGGTTGTCATAATATGTTTATTAATGAAAATAAATTTACTATATTTTATTGTTTTAGTTGTCTATGTTTGTGAAATTGTTATTTAATAGACAAAAATATTTTTAAAAATATACAGATTATTTTACAGTTATTATTAGTCAAGAAAAATTATTATCATTATATAAGTAATAGAGAAAAGAGAGAGAGAGAGAGAGAGAGAGAGAGAGAGAGAGAGAGAGAGAGAGAGAATATATAATATAATTATCTAATTTTTTATATATATTAATAGTAATGATAATACAGTTGTATTTTATATTTGATTTATTATTATTATTTATTATTATTATTATTATTATTATTATTATTATTACTAATATTAGATTCAATAATCTTAATTTTAGTAAATAACTGTATTAAATTATAACAGTATAATACATATTTATTTAGCATTTAGTATATGCTGTAGACTACAAAACATAATTTATAATAATATTATAATAAGTATATTATTTAGTGCATTATTAGTTCAAATATCTGTCTAATACAGTATAATACTGTATAATATATCATTTAGATAATCAATATTTGTAAGTTTATATATTGTATATATATATATATAATTTATTTTTGTTATATTTAATAATAAGTTAATTATAAAATCATAGTTTTACATTTATTAATTTTTTTTAGAAATAATTTGATTTCATAAATTATATAATTATTAAATATTTGTACCTGTATATGATATATTGTTAATTAACTAATTGCTTTATAATATTAGTCTATATAAAAAATAGATAACTAATTATACAAACATTTTTAGATTAAATTACATTATAAATCTATTTCACTATTATTGATAGTTTATTGATAACAATTTATACTTATGTATTATACTTAAAATAAACTTTTCCTGATATTTAATAAATACATATAAATAAAATTGATTTTCTAGTAAATATAACTTTTTATTTTTTTTAAAAAAATTAATCAACAAAAATACAAATCTATTATTATTATTATTTTTATATTACTACAAAAATATTTACCTGGATTTATGACTGTCTACTGTATTTAGTGTAAAAATGTTCAAGGTCAAATAAAGTACAAATATGTACTGAAAATGTACTAAAAAACACAATATTATAATATAGTAATAACTTTATATATATATATATATATATATATTATATATATATATATATATATATATATATATATAAATATTGAAAAATAAAAAAAGTATAAATACTAGTGTTTCTATAGTTTAGTTTAATACAGTTATATTGTTATTATTACTATTCATAATAATATCAAAGCAAAAAAAAATAATATACAATTTCATTATAATATTATTATTTTTTTTAAATAATAAAAACTAAATAAAAAAACCAGAAAAAATGTCTGTAAGTTATGATTTCACTGGAAAGGTAGTACTGATTACCGGTTCGAGTTCGGGTATTGGCGAAGGCATTGCCTTATTGTTTGCCAAATCGGGTGCCAATGTTGTAATTACCGGACGTAACGGCGATCGTGTGGCCAAAGTGGCCAAACAGTGTACAGATGTATCACCGAAACAGTTGAAAGCATTGCAAGTCGTCGGCGATGTCAACAGTGAAGAGGATCTCAATCGTCTGATTGAGACAACTGTCCAAACATTCGGCAAATTGGATATATTGGTCAACAATGTCGGTGTCGCCATCAAGACTGATGTATATAAACAGGATTTCTATGAAAATTATAAAAATGTTTTGAATACTAACTTGAATTCAGTGGTATATCTGACCCATAAATCTATTGAACATTTGGCCAAAACTAATGGCAATATTATTAACATATCGAGTCTAGTGTCGAAAATATCATCTGTAAGTAAACAAAAAAAAACTATATAATAATAATAATATTTGTTTTGTTAAATAATAATAATAATAATTTATTTTTAGGCTAACGGTGCATCAGCTTATCATATGTCGAAAGCAGCACTGGATATGTTTACCAAATGTATGGCCGCAGAGTTGGGACCCAAACGTATTAGAGTTAATTCAGTCAAGTAATTGATAAAAAAAAATTTTGTTTTAAATAAAAAAAAATTAATTATTTTATAACATAATAATATTTATTTTATTATTAATATATAATAGTCCAGCAATTGTTAAATCAAATTTTGTCACTAATTTCGGTGCACCGAAATCGGTTGCCGACCAACTGTACGCGGCAGCGGCTGCCAAATACCCGGTTGGTAGGGCTGGCCGGCCTGAAGATATTGCCCAAACTGTTGCCTATTTGGCCAGTGATTCGGCGGCCGGGTTTCTGACCGGTAGTATTGTTTTGGCCGACGGCGGACATCTGGCCGCCAATGTCTCATTTGATGCCGAAGCTCGCAAACTAGAAAACTGATAATATTGTAAAATATTGTAATTAATATATATATATTGATATATAATATTTGATTGAATTACAATAATTTTGATAATTTGTTAGACTTTAAAATACATTTTTATATTATTAATACAATTAATTGAACAATTAATACAATACAATAAAATTTTTAATTTATTTTTATGTTAGTTATAAACTTTATTAGTTTATTATTATTGTTTTTTACAGACAATTTTAAAAGTATTAATGTATTTAAAATTATTATAAATTGAAATAAAAATTTAAAGTTAAAATAAAATTAATTATTATATAATATTAAATAATGTAATTATTTTTATTTAAATTATTATTTAAATTAAATTTAATACTAAATAATAAAATGTTTGGCAATATATATTTTTATATTTTAAAATAATATTTTATTTTTATTATATATTTTTGCAAAATTAATATAATAACTAGTTTAATGCAATTTTAGTAAAATAAATTATTTTTTGTAACATAGTTTAACAGAGTATTATTGTATATTATATATTAAATAATTTATAAATATAGAATTAATTAAGAATTTTTATTTAAATTATTTAAATTAACTAACAATAAATGATAAAATAAGTTATTATTTTAATTTACATTGATCGCATAATAGTAGCTTATTTAATATATACTTAATTAATTTATTTTTTTAATAATTTCATTGTTTATTATGATAGTTTATATTTGTTAAAATTTAGTTACAGTTAGTAAAATTACAGTACTATTTACTGTATATATTTTAAGTACAATATAACTATACTAGATTATTATTATTATTATTATTATTATTATTATTATTATTATTATTATTATTATTTGCACTAAACGCAATGTTTGCATGCAATTTACTAAAATGCAATTGATTTTCAATAAATATATATAAATATATACACAATATGTATACTACTAATTTACTATATAATTATAACAATAATAATAAAAATAATGATCAAGGACAAACTAGTTTTATTTTGTAATACAAATGCACTATAAAACATTGTGTGCTTGAGTTCTGCTTTAATATTTATATATATAAATAAAATGTTTTATTTGAAACATTAGTTTCAATCTTTAGTTTTTGTAATAAACTTAAATATTTTTAATTAAATATTAATTTAATAATAAAAGCTAAACCAAATAACCAGTAAAAAAATGTCTGTAAGTTATGATTTTACCGGAAAGGTAGCACTGATTACCGGTTCGAGTTCGGGTATTGGCGAAGGCATTGCCTTATTGTTTGCCAAATCGGGTGCCAATGTTGTAATTACCGGACGTAACGGCGATCGTGTGGCCAAAGTGGCCAAACAGTGTACAGATGTATCACCGAAACAGTTGAAAGCTTTGCAAGTTGTCGGCGATGTCAACAATGAAGAGGATCTCAATCGTCTGATTGAGACAACTGTCCAAACGTTTGGCAAATTGGATATATTGGTCAACAATGTCGGCGTCGCCATCAAAACTGATGTATATAAACAGGATTTCTATGAAAATTATAAAAATCTAATGCAAACAAACTTGAATTCAGTGGTATATCTGACACATAAATGTGTTGAACATTTGGCCAAAACTAATGGCAATATTATTAATATATCGAGTCTAGTGTCGAAAATATCATCTGTAAGTAAAATATTTGTTTTGTTAAATAATAATAATTTATTTTTTTAATTATTTTTTTAGGGTAGTGGTGCTTCAGCTTATCATATGTCCAAAGCAGCACTGGATATGTTTACCAAATGTATGGCCGCAGAGTTGGGACCCAAACGTATTAGAGTTAATTCAGTCAAGTAATTGATATAAAACTTTTTTTTTAATAATATTTCATAACATAATAATATTTATTAATTTTTTTTTATTATTAATATATAATAGTCCAGCAATTGTTGAATCAAATTTTGTCACTAATTTCGGTGCACCGAAACCGGTTGCCGACCAACTGTACGCGGCAGCGGCTGCCAAATACCCGGTCGGTAGGGCTGGCCGGCCTGAAGATATTGCCCAAACTGTTGCCTATTTGGCCAGTGATTCGGCGGCCGGGTTTCTGACCGGTAGTATTGTTTTGGCCGACGGCGGACATATGGCCGCCAATGTCTCATTTGATGCCGAAGCTCGCAAACTAGAAAACTGATAGTTAAATACTGTAATCATTATTATATATACAGTATATATTTGATTGAATTGCAGTAATATTTTATTATTTATTATCTTTAAAACACATTAAAAGTTTTTAATTTATTTTTATTATATTATTCTACAGTAGTTATAAAGTTATAGTTTTTTATTATAGTTGTTATTTTTGTTTTACAGTCAATTTTAAAAGTATTAATGTATAAAAATTATTAATGTATTTAAAATTATTATAAATAAAAAATGTATTAAAAATTTATAGCTAAAATTAGATTAATTATTATATAATCTTAAATAATGTAATTATTTTAATTAAAATTATTATTTAAATTAAATTTAATACTAAATAATAAAATGTTTGGAAATGTATATTTTTATTATATATTTTAGCAAATTTATTCTTAAATACTATAATAATTAGTAAATAAATTAATAATTTTACATTTAAAGTCAATTGTATTGATATACATTAGTTAATTATTTCATTGTACTTAGTCATTTTCTAAATTTTATTTTTTTCAAAAACACAAAATGCTAACAATAATAATAATATTATATATATTTTTAATAAATTTATTAATTTTTATTATTATTATGATATACTAAAATTGAATGACATCTAAATTTTTCAAGTTTCTTAATAAATTTTATTTTAAATGAACCAATAATTACAGTAGAACTTTGAAGTCAAAAAATAAAATAAATAACTACTAATTTATTATTATTAATTAAAAATATATTATTAATAAATAAAATGATTAATCAATTGAAATAATTGTATTATCATTATATAACTTAATTTGATATTTTAATTATAATAGATTTTATTTTAAAATTTAATTAATTTTCAATAACTATTATTATTATTATTATATTATTATTTCAAATCAATTGTTTCAAACAAATTTTGTGTTTGTCTATCTCGAGTGATACGTTAGCGGCCAGATGTCCGCCGTCGGCCAGATCACAATATTGCCGGTTATAAACCTGTCCGCCGTATTACTGGCCAGATCTAGGCAACAGTATTGCAAACAAAATAAATAAAATTGATTTTTTATAGTTAATATACCTTTTTTTCTAAAAAAAAATTATTAAATAAAAATATAAAATCTATTATCATTATTATTTTAATTTTACCTAAAAAATATATTTGTCTGTTAATTTAATGACTGTAATATGTACTATAAAAACATTAATTATTATAATAATTGTAACTGTAATATCATATATTTACTTAACTACTATTAATTAATGAATATTAAAAAATAAAATAAAAGTATAAATACTAGTGTTTCTATAGTTTAGTTTAATTCAGTTATTATTGTTATTATTAGTATTCATAATAATACCAAAACAACAAACAAAAACTTAATATACAATTTCAAACTTATAATATTATTAATATTATTTTTTTAAAATAATAAAAACTTATCCAATAACCAGAAAAAAATGTCTGTAAGTTATGATTTCACCGGAAAGGTAGTACTGATTACCGGTTCGAGTTCGGGTATTGGCGAAGGCATTGCCTTATTGTTTGCCAAATCGGGTGCCAATGTTGTAATTACCGGACGTAACGGCGATCGTGTGACCAAAGTGGCCAAACAATGTAAAGATGTATCACCGAAACAGTTGCCAGCACTGGAAGTTGTCGGCGATTTGACTAACGATGAGGACTGCAATCGACTGATTGAGACAACTGTCCAAACCTATGGCAAAATTGATATATTGGTCAACAATGCAGGAATCGATAAGTTAGCCAATATTACCGATGATGGCTATTATGAAAACTTTCAAACTATTATTCAAACAAATCTCTATTCAGTGGTATATCTAACACATAAATGTGTCCCATATTTGGCTAAAACTGGGGGCAATATTATCAATATATCGGATATTGGATCCGAAATAATGGTATTTTATATTTAATTAGTTTTTATAGAAAAAATGTTTTATGAATTTTTTTTTAAAAAACTAATTAATTAAGTAATTTATTTATATATTACAATAGTTTAGCGACAGTTCCGCGTACTGTATGTCCAAAGCAGGACTGGATATGTTTACCAAATGTATGGCCGCAGAGTTGGGACCCAAACATCATATCAGAGTTAATTCAGTCAAGTAATTGAATTGATTTATTAGACAAATATTTTTATATTATTTTGTTTTTTATTTTTGTTGATAATTATTTTTTTATAAAAAAATTTATTTATAATAACAACAACTCACCAAATTAATAAAAAAAATAAGTCCCGGAGCTGTAAACAGTAATTTTTTGACAATATGGGTTTAACGGAAACAGTAATCGACAATATGTACGCCGAAGCTGGCCGTAAATATCCGGTCGGTAGGATTGGCCAGCCGGAGGACATTGCCAATACTGTTGCCTATTTGGCCAGTAATACGGCGGCCGGCTTTCTGACCGGCAGTATTGTTTTGGCCGACGGCGGACATCTGGCCGCCAATGTTAACGTTGATTAACGAATATATATTTTATAATTTAGACAAAAAATAATTATATTTTTTTTAATAATAATTTTATATTGATAATTAATTCTAACTACTTCTAATTGTTACCTATTTAATAACCTATTCATTGAAAATTATTTAAAAAAAACATTTTTAAAAATAATTTAATCAATTAATATGTATGACTACTTTGTTTAATATATATACAAAATATATATAGTTATATAGTTATATAGTTATATAAAAGATATATTCACAATATATTCAATATATAATAATAATAATAATTATTATTATTATACTAAACTATTTGTTAGATTATAATTAAATTTACAGATAATTAAATTAAATTTACAAATAATTAAAAATACAGTTAATTAAAAATTATTTTAAACCAGATAAAAATATTTGTTTAATTTTTTTTAATTTAAAGCATTATTATTATTATTATTTTTTAGACATTTATTTTTAGAGAATTTATTTACACACACACACACACACATACACACACACACACACACACACACACACACACAGACAGACAGTATTTGTAATAGCTTTTTTTTAGTACACTTTTAGTACTAATTAATTAGTTTATTAAAAAGTTATAAATAATATAAAAGTTTAGTTTAAATACAAATTATAATATTGTAATACTATTACTTGTTGTATATTTGTTTTGTTAAATACTAATAATAATAATTTATTATTATTATTATTATTAAAATTTTTTTAGGCTAACTGTGCTTCAGCTTATCATATGTCCAAAGCAGCACTGGATATGTTTACCAAATGTATGGCCGCAGAGTTGGGACCCAAACGTATTAGAGTTAATTCAGTCAAGTAATTGATATTTTTTTTATATATATAAAAAATAATTATTATTTTATAACATAATTATTAAATTTCTCTAATTGTTTCATCAATTTAGTCCAGCAATTGTTAATTCAAATTTTGTCACTAATTTCGGTGCACCGAAATCGGTTGCCGACCAACTGTATTCGGCAGCGGCTGCCAAATACCCGGTCGGTAGGGCTGGCCGGCCTGAAGATATTGCCCATAGTGTTGCCTATTTGGCCAGTGATACGGCGGCCGGGTTTCTGACCGGTAGTATTGTTTTGGCCGACGGCAGACATCTGGCCGCCAATGTCTCATTTGATGCCGAAGCTCGTAAACTAGAAAATTGATAGTTAAATACTGTAATTATTATATATTTATATATATTGATATATAATATTTGATTGAATTTTTATTACATTTTTATATTATTAATGCAATTAATTGAACAATTAATACAATACAATAAAAGTACTAATTTATTTTTTTATTAAAATATTTAAGTTATAATGTTATACTTTATTATTATAGTTTATTTTTTGATTTACAGACAATTTTAAAAGTATTAATGTATTTAAAATTATTATAAATAAAAATTGTAATAAAAATTTATAGCTAAAATTAGATTAATTATTATATAATCTTAAATAATGTATTTATTTTAATACTATATTGTGATATTTAAATTAAATTTAATAATAATAATATTAAATGTTTAGAAATATATATTTTTATTTTTTAAAATAATATTTTATATTTATTATATATATTTTAGCATAAGTAATATTAAATACTATAATAACTAGTAATTAAATTAATAATTTCACAGTTATAGTCAATTGTATGGATAAAGATTAGTAAATTATTTCATTATAATTGTAATGTTTAAAACAAGTATAATACAGTTTTAGTAGAAAATTTATTTTTAACTTATAGTTAAAACAAAGTATATTTGTATACTTATATAAAAAATAATTTATAAATATAGAATTATTAAAAAAAATTTTTTTAATTATTTAAATTAAATGGACAATTTTAATTTACATTGATTGCATAGTAGTAGTATATTTAGTAAATTATTTAGTAATATATACTTAATATATTTTTGTTTTAAAAACAATTTCATTGTTTATTATGATAGTTTATATTTGTTAAAATTTATTTACAGTTAGTAAAATTACATGACCAACTACTAATATATATTTAATTACAATATAATTATGTTAGATTATTATTATTACTATTTGCACTAAACGCAATGTTATGCATGCAATTTACTAAAATGCAATTGATTTTCAATATATATATATATATATATATAAATGTATATACAATATGTGTACTACTAAGTTACTATATAATTATTACAATAATAATAATAATAATGATCAAGGACAAACTAGTTTTTTTTGTGTAATACAAATGCACTATAAAACATTGTGTGCTTGAGTTCTGCTTTAATATTTATATATATATATATAAATAAAATGTTTTAATTGTAGACATTTACACAATCTTTAGTTTTTGTATTAATAATAATAATACTAAACTTAAATATTTTTAATTAAATTATTAATTATTAAAAAGTTTTATAAACAAACAAAAAATGTCTGTTAACTATGATTTCACTGGTAAAGTAGTTCTGGTTACCGGATCGAGTTCGGGTATCGGTGCGGCCACTGCTCTATTGTTTGCCCAATCGGGTGCCAATGTTGTGGTAACCGGACGTAATGCCGACGGTGTCAGAAAAGTGGCCAAACAATGTACTGATGAGTCGCCGAAACAGTTGAAACCATTGGAAGTGGTCGGCGATCTAACTAATGAATCGGATTGCGATCGTCTGATTCACTCAACTGTCCAAAAGTTTGGCAAATTGGATGTATTGGTCAACAATGTCGGTATAGCCATCAGGACTGATGTCTATAAACAGGATTTCTATGAAAATTATAAAAATCTAATGCAAACTAACTTGAATTCAGTGGTATATCTGACCCATAAATGTGTTGAACATTTGGCCAAAACTAATGGCAATATTATTAATATATCGAGTAATGTGTCGCACATGTCGGCGGTAATTAAGATAATTATTATAATTATAATTATTATATTTTTATTTTATAATATTTATTTAATTAATTAATTATGTTTTTCTATATATATATATAACAATTAGGGTAATAGTGTTTCAGCTTATAATATGTCGAAAGCAGCACTGGATATGTTTACCAAATGTATGGCCGCAGAGTTGGGACCCAAACGTATTAGAGTTAATTCAGTCAAGTAATTGAAATATTTTTTAAAATTATTTAATTTAGTATTTATAATATATATATATATATACAGTATATATATACCGTATATATATATATATGTAAACACTGTATATTATACGAAATATTTAATTAATATTTTATTAATTAATTAATTAATAGTTAATTATATTTTTTTATAATTTAATATACTAATTATTATTATTATTACTACTATCAATGATATTATTATTAATTAATTACATTCCCGGTATAGTTATGTCAAATTTCAGTCAAGTAATTAAAATATTTTTAAAAAAAATTATTTAATTTAGTATTTATATATATATATATATAACACTATATTATACTAAAAAATTAGTAATAAATAGTAATTATTTTTATAATTAATATACTAATTATTATTATTATTAATTAATTAATTAATTACAGTCCCGGTATAGTTATGTCCAATTTTGTTACACGTATGGGTGTACCCGAAGCTATTGTCCACAAAATACACGATGCAATTGGCGCTAAATATCCGGTCGGCAGATCGGGTGAGGGCAGGGATATAGCCAATACTGTTGCCTATTTGGCCAGTGATACGGCGGCCGGGTTTATGACCGGTAGTATTGTTGTGGCCGACGGCGGACATCTGGCCGCTAATCTATCGTTTGAGGGCGAAAGTCAACAAGTGTTGAGTCAATTAAAATAATTGATATATAATTATATATTTAAATATATAAAATATATAATATATTTAAAAAATATTTTATAATTATAAAAAACAGTATTAATGCTAATTTAGATCATAAAGTTATTTATTTATTATTATTTTTTTTATTATAAATTACTAAACTTTAAATATATTATTTATAAGCATATATTGTAGTTATCATTTATTAAATATTATTAAATTTTATTCAAAATCCTAATAATTGAAAAATTTTATAAATATTATAATAAACTTATTATACAGTAAAATATTTGTAAAAAAATCATTTACTGTATAAAATTTTTTCAATAATAAATAAATTTTATTATATAGTTAAACAGTAGTTATTAATTTTCAATAAATATTATAAAAATTTAATAATTTATTAAGTGATTTGAAAGCTAGTAGTCATAACTAGCATTAAATAAATTATTTATTTTTTTAAAATAAAATAATAATAATAAGATAAATTTACAAATATATTTAATTATTAGATTCAGTATTATTGTGTATTTTGTTGTTTTTAATTAAATAATTTAGTATTATTTTTATTTATTTATTATAGAAACAAATTCATAATAATTGTATGATTTTAAATAATAAAATACTTTAATTTTATTTACTAAAATGTTTATAAATAATGTAATTAATTTTTAGTAACAATATCTCAATATAATTGATATACATATTGGAAAAATTATTATAATTTAATTATAAATAAATAATATTTAAAAAAATTGTTTTAAATAATTTTTAGCTAGAATTGTTTAACTAAATGTTTCAAATATTGTATTAATAATTAATAGTTTATATTAAAGTAGTATATAATAATAATTTTTTGTATAATTAAAAAATATATTTGTTATCATATAAGAAAAAATATACAATACATGTATTAATATTTATTGTAAATAATTAATTCAAAATGTAATTTCTAGGCTAATACTAAAAATTTTTGTTATTTGCTATGTCATAGAAATTATAAAATAACAAAATATTTTTAATACAATAATTAAAATATTAATTCAGTATGTATTGAGAGTTTTAATAAAAAAAAACACAACTATTAAACACATATATTAAATATTAAATATCTAAAACAGTATTTAAAAACAAAATGTCGCTTAAGTATGATTTCACAGGAAAGGTAGCTCTGATAACTGGTTCGAGTTCGGGTATCGGTGCGGCCACTGCTCAACTGTTTAGCAAATCGGGTGCCAATGTTGTAGTCACCGGTCGTAATGCCGATGCTGTGGCCAAAGTAGCCAAACAGTGTACAGATGTGTCACCGAAACAGTTGACTGCACTGGAAGTTGTCGGCGATTTGACTAACGAAGAGGACTGTAATCGTCTGATTGAGACAACTGTCCAAACGTTTGGCAAAATTGATATATTGGTCAACAATGCCGGCGCTGGTTTTCTCTCATCAATTGACGACACAGATTATATGGAAAAATTTTCATTAATTATGAAAACAAACTTGAATTCAATGGTTTATATGACCCATAAATGTGTGCCATATTTGGCCAAAACTCGGGGCAATGTTATCAATATATCGAGTATTGCAGCGAAAAAATATGTAAAACTATATAAATAGATTTTTTTTAAAAAAGATATATATATAAAATTAATTTAATTATTTATATTTTTTTACTTTAAATTTTATTTTTATTATTTCATGAATATCTTTAAAGTTTTATATACTTTCGGCTTATTGTACGTCAAAAGCCGGAGTCGATATGTTTACCAAATGTATGGCCGCAGAGTTGGGACCCAAACATCATATCAGAGTCAATGCAATACTGTATGTCTATATAACTAAATACTACTGTATATACATATACAGTATATTTAAAATATATATTTTAATTATAATTTTGTTTATTTGCTTACTATATATATATATATATATATATATATTTCTATATATATATAAGTCCCGGTTATGTGGAGACAAACTTTACAAATTCATATGAATTACCGAAAGAAATTATCGATCAATCAATCGTTGAAATGGGCGCCAAATATCCGGTCGGTAGGATTGGCCAGAGTCAGGATATTGCCAACACTGTTGCCTATTTGGCCAGTGATACGGCGGCCGGGTTTCTGACCGGCACTTGTCTGATAGCCGACGGCGGCGATATTGCCGCCAATGTTTAGTAGTAATAATAATAATAATAATATCTATTATAGTTAATATAGTATTATAAAAAAATTTTTTATTTATAGTACACTTTTATTAGCGAAAATTTTTAATTGATTTTTTAAAAAATAATTTGTTTTATTAATAATTACAAACAACATAACAACAACAAAAAATAGTTATTAAATTGTTTTGTTGTTATTGTTGTAAATCTAAATTATTTTGTTTTTAAGACAAATAAATAACTGATAACTAAATAATTAAATAAATAGTTTTTATTTAGTACTTGTTTTCATTTTTATTTAAGGCAATTGGTAACAAATGTATAAAAATAATATACATTATGGTAAACATTTGGGCAACTTTCCCAAATTCTAATGGGAACATTCCCACAAAAATAATATACATTTACTTTCCTATGAAAAATGAGAATTTATTTTTTGTATTTAACTCCTTATTTTATAAAAATTATTATTATTATAATAGATAAATGGATTTTATATTATTTATTTTATATTATTTTTAACCAAAGTTTAAAATATTATAAAACTGTTATAAATAGTGTTTAGTTTGTATTAAAAAAAAATTTATTATAACTACACTAATAAGTAAAATAATTTATAATACTTGTATATATATATATATATGTTTATTTTGAATATTGTATTTGATATGTTATAAATATAATTATTATTTTATATTTAAATTAACAAAATACAATATCGATTAATATATTATATAATTAATATTATTATTAATTATTATTAAACTCAAATCGATATACATGTAGTGTTTAAAAAAAATTTAATAATAAATATAATTTTGTTAAATAGTATTTAATAAAGTAAAAAATATTGTAAATTAATAGTAGATATTTATAATAATTTTTAGTATACTGTATTTTTAAATATATATATATATATTATATATACATTAAAATAAAAAATTTATGTTATTTGCTTTGTCATAAAATTTTATAAAAATAAGAAAATATTTTTAATACAATATTAGTTTAGTATGTTTTGAAAGTTTTAATAAAAAACACGATTCTATTAAAAAAAAAATTATTTAATATTAAATATCTTTTTTAAAACAGTTTTTAAAAACAAAATGCCTATTAATTATGATTTCACCGGAAAGGTAGCTCTGATAACTGGTTCGAGTTCAGGTATCGGTGCGGCCACTGCTATACTGTTTGCCAAATCGGGTGCCAATGTTGTAGTCACCGGCCGTAATGCCGATGCTGTGGCCAAAGTGGCCAAACTGTGTACAGATGTGTCACCGAAACAGTTGTCGGCACTGGAAGTTGTCGGCGATATTACTGTAGAAGTGGATTGCAATCGACTGATTGAGACAACTGTCCAAACATTTGGCAAAATTGATATATTGGTCAACAATGCCGGCACTGGTATTATGTCATCAATTGATAACATAGATTATATGAAACAGTTTTCGCTGGCATTGAAAACAAACTTGAATTCATTGGTTTATATGACACACAAATGTGTGCCATATTTGGCCAAAACTCGGGGCAATGTTATCAATATATCCAGTATTGCAGCGAAACAAGCAGTAAATTATAAATATATATATATTTTTTAATTTAATTATATTAATAATTTTAACTAGAAATTCAAGTTTTAACTTAATTTAATTAATTAATTAATTAATATAATTATTTAGTTGATTGGGATGTCTCTATACTGTATGTCCAAAACAGCTGTCGATATGTTTACCAAATGTATGGCCGCAGAGTTGGGACCCAAACGTATTAGAGTTAATGCAATACTGTATGTATAATAATACTTTCAATATATATATATATATATATCAGTCATATATATATATATATATATATATATATATCAGTCATATATATATATATATATTTATGAAAAAATTTATTATTATTATTATTATAAATTTATAATTATATTAAAACCCATATATACTTTTTTTACTAGAAAATTTCCAAAAAGGCAATAAAGTAAAAACTAACTAGATTAATTAATTTTTTAAAAAAAACTAATAATTATATCTAGTTTATTATTTAGTTTATTAAAATATTGATCATTCAACAACAAAATTTAAATCTTATTAGTTAGTTGATATTTTAAATTACTCATTTGAATTAATTAAAAAAATATTTTTTAAAAATATTATATTTACATATATTTTATTTGTTTAAATTTATTTAGCTTTTTTGACTGAAATATATTTACTTATGTTTTTTGATGTGTTTTTATAAATAAGTTATAATATATATATATATATATATATCTAGAATTATAAGTTAAGTTTTATGTTTGTTATAATAAACTAAATAATTTATTCAATAATTATGTTACGATAATTATGATAATATTTATGTAGATATTATTTAGGCTAATTTATTATTTATAATACTTTTTTTAAAAAAAAAAGATAATTAAAAAATTTTCAATTTTCTAGACCCGGAACAATAGTGACCAACTTTTTGAATGTATTTGATTTATCCGATGATGTCATACATAAAGCACACGATGATATTGGCCAGAAATATCCGGTCGGTAGGGTTGGCCAGAGTCAAGATATTGCCAACACTGTTGCCTATTTGGCCAGCGATACTGTGGCCGGGTTTATAACCGGCACCTGTCTGGTAGCCGACGGCGGACATCTGGCCGCTAACGTGACCTATGGATAGTTAGATATAAAACACTATTATATATATAATAATATATATTATACAAAATATATAATGTATAGTAAATATACAAATGTATAAAAATTTAATAGTAATATATATATATATATAATGCTAACTAATTTTATTAATAATTTAATTTTTATTAATAAAATAAAATGTTTTGCAACGTTATGTATTTTTTTAAATAACTTAACAATTATGTCTATTTTTTAAAAAATTAAAAACAGAAAAAAATAAATATTTTTTATAGTTATAACATTTGTAATTCAATATTTATTCAATATTTAGAAAATAAATAATAAATTGTCAAATAGTTTAATAAATCAAAAAAATATATATACATAATACATATACAGTACTATACATATCAAAAAACTAATAAAAATATTTTATACAGTATTTTAGTTATTTGCTATATCATTAAATTAATAAACTAATTAAAAACAAAATTAAATACAATATTAATTTAGTTTGTATTGAGATTTTTAATAGAAAACACGACTATTAAAAAAAATTTTTTATTTAATATTATATTAAATATATATTAAAAGTATTTAAAACAAAAAAATGTCGCTTAAGTATGATTTCAACGGTAAGGTAGCTCTGATAACTGGTTCGAGTTCGGGTATCGGTGCGGCCACTGCTATACTGTTTGCCAAATCGGGTGCCAATGTTGTAGTTACCGGCCGTAATGCCGATGCTGTGGCCAAAGTGGCCAAACAATGTACAGATGTGTCACCGAAACAGTTGACTGCACTGGAAGTTGTCGCCGATCTGACTAACGAAGAGGACTGTAATCGACTGATTGAGACAACTGTCCAAACATTTGGCAAAATTGATGTATTGGTCAACAATGCCGGCACTGGTATTATGGCGTTAATTGATGACACAAATTATATGAAACAATTTTCGCTGGCATTGAAAACAAACTTGAATTCAGTGGTTTATATGACACACAAATGTGTCCCGCATTTGGCCAAAACTCGCGGCAATATTATCAATATATCGAGTATTGCATCGAAAAGATCAGTAAAACATTTTTCGTTACATTCATTACAGTATTTTTTTTATAAAAAAAAATTTTACAATAATTTTTATAATTTAATTATTATTTAGTTGTATGGTTTGTCTCCTTATTGTATGTCGAAAGCCGGGGTCGATATGTTTACCAAATGTATGGCCGCAGAGTTGGGTCCCCAACGTATCCGAGTTAATGCAATACTGTATGTCTATATAACTAAATATATATATATATAATATATTAATCATTAATTAGTAGTAAAATATTTTTAAAAAAAATATATTTATTATTACATTTTATTTTTTTTTGAGACCCGGGACTGTTGCCACAAATTTTATGGATGTATTTGAGTTGCCGATAGAAATGGTGGACAAAACATACGAAACAGTTGGCCAGAAATATCCGGTCGGTAGGGTTGGCCAGAGTCAGGATATAGCCAACACTGTTGCCTATTTGGCCAGCGATACGGTGGCCGGGTTTATAACCGGCAGTATTGTTGTGACCGACGGCGGACATTTGGCCGCCAATGTGTCGTATGAATAGTTAATACAATAAAACTATTGTTAAACTTATTGTTGCTGTTGTTATAGTTTTTTATTTTAATATATTTTTAAGTTTTTATTTATTTTTTTATTATTATTTTCAATAACAACAGTTATTTTTTAAAAAATATATTTTTCTAAATCAAAATTATTATTTTAAATTAAACAATTTTTTTTAAATCAAACATTTATAGGTTTTTAATTTTTGTTAAGTTTTTGTTAAATTTTATATTTATTAATTTTTATTATATGATATATTTATAATTTTTTTTAAATAAATGTTTTACTAAAAAAATATATTATAATATATATAACAAATAATAAAAAATAATCGAAATTTTTAAAATTTATTAATTTTTTTGATTATTAAAAAAATAACTATACTTTACAATCTCTATAATATTATGTTAAATGTATATTATATTTTTGATAATATTAAAAAACTGTGTCAAATACACGTATTATTTTTTTTGTGTATGACATTGCAGTTTTTTAGTCCTATAATAAATAATTATTTAATAAAATACAATAAAAATTTATTTAATTTTTTTCATAAAATGATAAACAATTAACAACAACAACAAAAATTTATGAAATTATTAAATATCTAATTAATAAAAACCTAATAAACTATTTTTTATATATATATATAAATATTTTTTTTTAAAAATTATATTTTTAAATGTCTATTTCAATTGGCCAAAAAATTAATGTCAACGGTATAGACATTTATTATGAAAAAGTGGGAACCGGTAGTCATATAATACTTTTATGTCCAGCGGCTGTAGGTATAGATAAAAAAAATATTTTTATTTATTTATTTTTTATATTAATTATTATTACAAAAAAAAATTAAATATTATTATTGTTATTTAAACGATAATCAAGGCTCAGGTAGACTGGATTTTCATACAATACTTGACGACCCGAAATGGTGGCCAAACTTTACAAGTATTGTCTGGGATCCGCCCGGCTATGGACATAGTAGACCACCCGAACGTAATTGGGCGGACGACTATTTTAGGCAGGACGCCAAAATGGCGGCCGATTTGATGAGGGTAACTAACCAACTAACTATATATATATAGACTAACTAACTATATATATATATAGACTAACTAACTATATATATATAGACTAACTATATATATATATATATATAGACTAACTATGATATATAGACTAACTATGATATATAGACTAACTATATATATATATATATATATATATATAATTAATAAGACATTAGGCTATAATAAATACTCGCTGATGGGCTGGTGTAACGGTGGTACCACTGCACTGATTATTGCGGCCAATGCTGCTGCTTCTGCTGCCGATGCCGATGATCCCGGGCCAGTGGACAAACTGATCGTATGGGGTGCACTGGCCTACATGAGCCAGCAAGATAAACAAGCATGGCAGCAACTCAGAGATACCCGGGGATGGAGTCAACAAACTAAACAAGATTTCCTGGATCTGTACGGCAGTACCGATGAATATACCCGTATGTGGAACCAGTTTATCGATAGGTATGTCCGCTACGATGATATTTGTTGCCGGGATTTACCGCTCGTACGCCAACCGTGTCTGATATTGCACGGCAATCAGGATCGGGAAATAGCTGCCGAACATCCCGGCTATTTGGCTGCTAATATACCTGACTCTAAGCTTCGTAGGTTTCCCGATGCCGGTCACGCTATACATTGGAAACTTGTTAATGAATTTCGGGATATTGTAACTGAATTTTTGCTAAATTAAAATACACAAAAAAAATATTGAATATTTTTTTTAATAATAAAATTATAATAATTTTACACTAAAATATATTTTTTTAAATAATAAGAATAATCTAAAATATTTTTTTGTTTAATTTTTTAAGCTTTATCTCTAATTATTAGTTTTTTAATATTTAGTATTTTATTATTAATAATTTAGTTTATTGATAATTATTAGCTAACATTTAAATTTTGTAAACTATATATTTCTTAAAATAACAATAAAAATAATTAAAAATATATTTTATTTGTTATATATATTAAAATAGAGATAAATAATAATTTTGTTTTAAATATTATAATATAGTAAAATTTTATAATTGAAAATAATAAAACAAATTTATTTAACATTTTTAAAATATATAAAATATAATATAACTATTATTTTTTATAATACAAAAAAACATTTAGCATGATTAACAAAAAAAAAATAATAATTACTAAATAACATTATCAGTAGATATAAATTTGATTATTATTATCATTATTAATTTATAATAGATTAGGAAAATATTTATATTTTAATTAAAAATTTTTTAATAAAATAATTAAATTATTATACAACTAAAAAAATTAGATATAGTAATATATAATTATTTATTTCAACAACTTATATACACATTTAAATATTAATATATATATTAAATTTATAAAATATAAATTTATAAAAAATAAATAATTTAATATATGAATAATAAAGTTGCTTTAATAACAGGTAAATAAAATACTAATAATAATAATATCTATTATTTTTATTATTACGGTATAAGTTATTGAAGAAAAATAATTATTATAACTTTATATTATAAATATTTAACTAATTATTTATATATATATTTTTTGTATTTTACAATTAGGGTCGTCATCGGGTATCGGTGAGGCCATTGCCTATAAACTATGTTCACTGGGAGCTCATGTAGTCGTTACCGGTAGGAATGGCCAGCGTATCGATTGGGTGGTCGACCGATGCCAATCAATAATAGGACAAAAACAACAACAACAGGCTATCGGTATTATAGCCGACCTACTAGTGGCCACTGATATCGACCAACTAGTCAATCGGGTTGGCAAACAATTTGGCAAAATAGACATTCTGGTCAACAGTGCCGGTATTGCTGAAGTCGATGACCAGTCATATATTAATAGTATGATTGCATTTGATACCATAATGGACACCAATTTACGATCAATAGTAGCCATCACACGACTGGCCATACCGTATCTGATTGATAGTCCCAGCGGCGGCCATATAGTCAACATTTCTAGTCTAAACTCTATTCAGCCGTTAGTTTCAGCCGATCCTATGATGATGACCACTGGCCCGTACTGTATGTCCAAGTGTGCACTGGATATGTTTAGCAAATGTCTGGCCACAGAATTGGCCGACCGGGGTGTTCGTGTAAATAGTGTTAAGTAATAATTATTTTTTTAAATGTGTTTTATTTTTATTATTTTATTCAATCAATTATATCAATTAAAGTCCGGCCGCAATACACACACCGCAGATCAGTATTGAAGACAAATTAGCTGAAGAATTACTGTATGGACGGTCACTACCCGTACGACGAGTAGGCAATGCCGACGATGTGGCCAATACTGTGGCAGCACTGGTAACCACCACCACCACCACTACCTCATCATCCATCTACCCGTCCTCCCAGTTGTCAGTCATCACTACTACTAGTAGTAGTAGTCAACAATCAATACTGTTTGTCGATGGCGGCGGACATCTATGTGGTATCAGTTAATTATATATATATATATATACTGTATTAAAATAGTGTCTACAAAAAAATATTTAATGTTAACTAATATTACTTTAGTTTTAATTTATTTTTATTTTATAATTTAAATACTAAATTCTGTATTAAATATATGATATCATATATATATTGAATTATTTAAATAGTTTTTAAATTAATGTTTAAATTGTATTTTTTTGAATATAAAAATAATATAATATTACAACTAATTACACGTAAACAATTAATGAATACATGTATTATTGTATTTTATTATTATTATTATTATTTTACAGTATAGTTAAAGTTAAGGAAAATTCCTTATATATTATAAATTTTATATATTCCCTGTTTTCTGGAAATTCTCATAGAATTTATTTTTTAGTCATAATAATTGAGAATCATATTTTAGAAAAACATTTGTATGATTATTATTAAATAATAGAAAAAAATATATTAAAAATATTTTCACAATTTTTTAAAAATTTTTAATAAAATTGAAATTATTGGGAAATTTCCGTCTCTTAAAAAAATTGTTCGAAACTTAAGTACAGTATTATAGACACTGTTTATTGAAATAAAAAAATATGTCAAATATTTATGACAATGATTATTAAAAAAAAAATTAATAAATTATTTTATTTTCAAAAATAATTTATTAAAACCTTAAACTAAATCTACTTATTAGTAATTTTTAAGCAAAAAAAAAGTTTCTGTATTTTATTAATAATAAAAATAATAAAATAAAACATATCTACAAAAAAAAATAAATAAATAAAAATATTTATAATATTAATAATAAATGCCTCAAACGGGTAATAAAATCAATGTTAATGGCGTGGATATACACTATGAAAAAGTTGGCAACGGTTCACATGTTTTACTATTACTTCCCGGAGCCTTAGGTTTAGGGTATCATAAACTAAACAAAATAATAATAATAATAATAATATTAAAACTTATTAATTATTTTACAATAGGAAGCGGTAGAAGCGATTTTAGCCATCAATTAGACGATAATAATTGGTCGGAAAATTTTACGCTAATAGCATGGGATCCGCCCGGTTATGGCTATAGTAGACCACCGGAGCGTCAATGGGATAACTATTTCGATACCGATGCGGAAATGGCGGCCAATTTTATGCAGGTTTTTAATAATAATTAAACAAACAAATAGTTACTATAGTTATTAATACTAGTATAAGTTAATTAAAAAAAGTATTTATAGACTTTAGGCTACACTAAGTACTCGGTGTTAGGCTGGAGTAATGGCGGCTGTACTGCACTGATACTGGCCTACAGACATCCCGATGCTGTCCAACGGCTAGTTTTATGTTCGGCCAATGCCTACGTATCGGACAATGAGAGACAACATTTTCGGTCGGATCGTGATGTCAGTCAGTGGTCGGATAAGGACTTACAAGGATTCAGCGATAACTACGACCGACAATTGTTACGGCGTTTATGGCCGGAATGGGTCGACG